ATATATATATATATATATATATATATATATATCCGTGTATGTATATATATGTATATCTGTATATGTATATATATATATATATATATATATATATGTATATATATATAGACATATACATATACATATACTGTCACTGATATACATATATATATATATATATATATATATATATATATATATATATATATATATATATATATATATACATATACTGTCACTGATATACATATATATACATATACTGATATATATATGGGGCCTTAAGATATAGGTCCCTAGTGACAAAACTTATTAGAACTAAATGACAAGTCCAACAAAACTTTTGCTTCACATCCTTTATAAAATTCATTCCAAAAATGCCCTTCCACTCACAAATTCAAAATCTGCATTTAATAAATTTGAACTGCATTTATTATTTTATTCTGTATTTAATAGTTTCATTTATTATTTTATTTTATTTAGTAAAATCTAACGTTTTTTTAATTCTTTTCATTTTAGTATGTATACAAAATTATAAAAATAAAATATTTTTTTTCCTTTTCTTTTGTACATAATATTATAACAAAAACTAAAGCATGCTATTTTTTTGTTTCATTTTTTAATCTAGTATACATATTTATTTTTTTGTTTCATTTTTTAATCTAGTATACATATTTTTCTGTAGTAGACTATAGTATACTACGATATACTATAGTATAGTACAATTGTATACTACGGTATACTATGATGTACTATCAAACCCTAGCCGCCAACAACTCTCAGCTGTCGCCAACCCTAGCAGCCAAACGCAGCTGCCGCCAAACTCTAGCGATCATACCAAGCAAAATATCTTAAAAGATAATCAGATTCATATGCAATTAGTCAAAAAAATGTTTTCAATAATAGTTGATTCTTCAATTCACAACGTTGTTAGACACTCGTAGTCTCGTAGACAACTAGGGTCATTTTCAAAACCCTACTTTTGCCATTTGGAACCCTAGCACCGCTAGCAAACGTAGACCAGCCACCATCCCCGTTGTATATGCAATTCAACGCACACATACCATGAATTCATCATAACCAGCCCTAGCCACTGCTAAAAAAACAACGAAAATATCTACGCACATACTCGCCAACCCTTCCGTGATGCAATCGCCACTCCCCCAACCAAGACGAGTCAGGGACATCGCCGCCGCCGCACAAGCGCGTCTGAAATGGCCACCACCGTTGCAGATCTATTATTCCTCTGTATATTTTTAAAAATTCAGATCTAATAATTAAAAAGAAAGAAAAACAGTGAATTCACATTTTTAAAAATTCAGATCTAATAATTAAAGAAAAAGAAAAAGAAATCAAAAGAAAGAAAAATAGTGAATTACAGAGATTGGGGCAGGGAAGTAGAGAAAGAGAGAAAAAGAGAGAGAAGAGGTGTTGGGCGGCGCAATAATAGAGAGAAAGGGGGAGAAAAAGAGAGAAAGAGAGAGAGAGAAGAGGAGGAGGAGTTGTGCGGCCGAATAATAGGGAGAAGTGGAGAAAGAGATAAGTAATATAATAATATTATAATGTATTTTTTTATTAATTACATCAAGGGTAGTTTTGGGTTAAAAAAATTAAAAGGATGTGTATCAATTTTTGTTCAGAATTAAGGATTTAATAAAAAAATTCTAATTGGGCTTGTCCCCTACATCTAATTAGGTTTGGTTTGAAGGGTGTCATGCATATTATCCCTATATATATATATATCTTTATATATATAAAAAAAAAAAAAAAAAAAAAAAAAAAAAAAAAAAAATCAGCCGGGTACCCGATCGGGTACCCGGGTAGGATTTCTAAAACCCGGACCCGACCCGGTTTGGGAGCACCGGGTACCCAAACCCGGGAAAACCCGGTTACAAAAAAAATTACCCAATCCGGTCGGGAAATACCCGACCGGGTCGGGTAATTTG